GAGAGAAACAAACGTGTCTGTGATCGTAAATATCCTGTGAAAAAGGAGAGAAACAAACGTGTCTGTGATCGTAAATATCCTGTGAAAAAGGAGAGAAACAAACGTGTCTCTGATCGCACAGATCGTGTGAAAAAGGAGAGAAACAAACGTGTCTTTGATCGTAAATATCCTGTGAAAAAGGAGAGAAACAAACGTGTCTCTGATCGCACAGATCGTGTGAAAAAGGAGAGAAACAAACGTGTCTCTGATCGCACAGATCGTGTGAAAAAGGAGAGAAACAAACGTGTCTGTGATCGTAAATATCCTGTGAAAAAGGAGAGAAACAAACGTGTCTCTGATCGCACAGATCGTGTGAAAAAGGAGAGAAACAAACGTGTCTCTGATCGCACAGATCGTGTGAAAAAGGAGAGAAACAAACGTGTCTGTGATCGTAAATATCCTGTGAAAAAGGAGAGAAACAAACGTGTCTGTGATCGTAAAAAGGAGAGAAACAAACGTATCCTGTGAAAAAGGAGAGAAACAAACAAGGAGAGAAACAAACGTGTCTCTGATCGCACAGATCGTGTGAAAAAGGAGAGAAACAAACGTGTCTCTGATCGCACAGATCGTGTGAAAAAGGAGAGAAACAAACGTGTCTCTGATCGCACAGATCGTGTGAAAAAGGAGAGAAACAAACGTGTCTCTGATCGCACAGATCGTGTGAAAAAGGAGAGAAACAAACGTGTCTCTGATCGCACAGATCGTGTGAAAAAGGAGAGAAACAAACGTGTCTCTGATCGCACAGATCGTGTGAAAAAGGAGAGAAACAAACGTGTCTCTGATCGCACAGATCGTGTGAAAAAGGAGAGAAACAAACGTGTCTCTGATCGCACAGATCGTGTGAAAAAGGAGAGAAACAAACGTGTCTCTGATCGCACAGATCGTGTGAAAAAGGAGAGAAACAAACGTGTCTCTGATCGCACAGATCGTGTGAAAAAGGAGAGAAACAAACGTGTCTCTGATCGCACAGATCGTGTGAAAAAGGAGAGAAACAAACGTATCTCTGATCGCATAGATCGTGTGAAAAAGGAGAGAAACAAACGTGTCTCTGATCGCACAGAACGGGTGAAAAAGGAGAGAATCAAACGTATCGCACAGATCTTGTGAAAAAGGAGAGAAACAAACGTGTCGATCACAGATCGTGTGAAAAAGGAGAGAAACAAACGTGTCTCTGATCGCAGAGTCTCTGATATCCTGTGAAAAAGGAGAGATCGTGTGAAGAAAAACAAACGTGTCTCTGATCGCAGAGATCTTGTGAAAAAGGAGAGAAACAAACGTGTCTCTGATCGCAAAGATCAAACTGTGAAAAAGGAGAGAAACAAACGTGTCTCTGATCGCAGAGATCGTGTGAAAAAGGAGAGAAACAAACGTGTCTGTGATCGTAAATATCTTGTGAAAAAGGAGGGAAACAAACGTGTCTCTGATCGTAAATATCCTGTGAAAAAGGAGAGAAACAAACGTGTCTCTGATCGTAAATATCCTGTGAAAAAGGAGAGAAACAAACGTGTCTCTGATCGCACAGATCGTGTGAAAAAGGAGAGAAACAAACGTGTCTCTGATCGCACAGATCGTGTGAAAAAGGAGAGAAACAAACGTGTCTCTGATCCTGTGAAAAAGGAGAGAAACAAACGTGTCTCTGATCGCACAGATCTCTGTGTGAAAAAGGAGAGAAACAAACGTGTCTCTGATCGCACAGATCGTGTGAAAAAGGAGAGAAACAAACGTGTCTCTGATCGCACAGATCGTGTGAAAAAGGAGAGAAACAAACGTGTCTCTGATCGCAAATATCCTGTGAAAAAGGAGAGAAACAAACGTGTCTCTGATCGCACAGATCGTGTGAAAAAGGAGAGAAACAAACGTGTCTCTGATCGTAAATATCCTGTGAAAAAGGAGAGAAACAAACGTGTCTCTGATCGCACAGATCGTGTGAAAAACGAGAGAAACAAACGTGTCTCTGATCGCATAGATCGTGTGAAAAAGGAGAGAAACAAACGTGTCTCTGATCGCACAGATCGTGTGAAAAAGGAGAGAAACAAACGTGTCTCTGATCGCACATATCGTGTGAAAAAGGAGAGAAACAAACGTGTCTCTGATCGTAAATATCCTGTGAAAAAGGAGAGAAACAAACGTGTCTCTGATCGCACAGATCGTGTGAAAAAGGAGAGAAACAAACGTATCTCTGATCGCACAGATGGTGTGAAAAAGGAGAGAAACAAACGTGTCTCTGATCGTAAATATCCTGTGAAAAAGGAGAGAAACAAACGTGTCTCTGATCGCAAAGAGCGTGTGAAAAAGGAGAGAAACAAACGTGTCTCTGATCGCACAGATCGTGTGAAAAAGGAGAGAAACAAACGTGTCTCTGATCGCACAGATCGTGTGAAAAAGGAGAGAAACAAACGTGTCTCTGATCGTAAATATCCTGTGAAAAAGGAGAGAAACAAACAAGGAGAGAAACAAACGTGTCTCTGATCGCACAGATCGTGTGAAAAAGGAGAGAAACAAACATGTCTCTGATCGCACAGATCTTGTGAAAAAGGAGAGAAACAAACGTGTCTCTGATCGTAAATATCCTGTGAAAAAGGAGAGAAACAAACGTGTCTCTGATCGCACAGATCGTGTGAAAAAGGAGAGAAACAAACGTGTCTTTGATCGTAAATATCCTGTGAAAAAGGAGAGAAACAAACGTGTCTCTGATCGCACAGCTTTAGAAAATTTGGAAAATTAATTAGATATTACAGTAAATAGAAATTTCAAGTAGAACAGACTGTGAAAAATAGAGAAACAAACGTTCTTGAAAATAATTAGATCATTTTCAAGTAACAAGCGGCATGAAGAACTTTCAGAGCATTACATACAAACCTGACTTTGTTATATCAATAATTATCAGCAAGGACGTCAACGATAAAAAATTGAACATTCTTAGTATTAAGATTTTTTTTGTTATTCGATTCTCAATCATGTCCTTTAAGTGTTTGTAAGAAAAATTAGCTTAAACTTCAGATTTGAAAAGTGCTCGTGATTATGTTTTCAACAACGGAATGAGAAAAATATTCTATCTGATACCAACAAGGATATTCTGAGGGAGGCAGGTTCTAGAATTCGCTCTATGACATAGTTGGTAATATAAAGAAAATCAGTCACTTAACGTTCAGTAATGAAAAACAGATTAACCAACCAAGACTCTTAAAACATCGAACTCGAAATGTAAATACGTAATGAAATCAATTGAAAGTGGATATACTATACAATATATAGTAATATACGACAAATTTGTAGTATATGTATTTTTATCAAGGGTACGCATTGGTTCCTAGATTTTAAATATAAGCATGAAGCTATAACATTTACGAAATATTTTCATTTATCTTCCATTAAATATACTAAATCTGTAAAAAAAATCATGTTCAAGTTCTAATTAAACGTTCTATTTATCACAGATTAAATGAGATCAGTACACTATATGTAAATAACTATATTGTTTACGTGAAAGAAATACCTGAAAGTCAAATAACTTCTCTTACGTGTCAAAACTTTTATTACACAATATATCAAATAGAACAGTTCACACTAGTTAACTTGGCCTAATAATTTGGATATGTACGGATTATGGTCATAATGCGATTTTGCATGATAAGAACAGTTAACTATTTTCACATTATGAAAAGGGAAAAGATTAACGTTGTTAAGGATTCCATGCCGCCATTACCAATCGTATTTAAGATTGTTTATTTAAAGAGAAAAATAGAAAAATCTAATTGGAACTTATGCCTTGAGTGTCAGAAATGTGAATATTAAAACAATCGTAGCAGGGTTTATATATATATCGCCCCTTTATCATTTAGATATGCGGCAAGGTCATAACCTTAATCTACAATGTATATTCGTTGACCAATAACCTCTACAAAATATTCAAATTTGAAATTTGATTAAATGATTCAAATGGTTGATGTAGTTATGAAAAAGATTTTTCAATAGCTATCTTCCACATTTTTTCGTATTAATTTTGAAGGTTAACCTTGACTGAAAACCAAATGACATTACTTCGATAAGGAAATCGCATGCCTGGAAAGTAATGAATATGCAACGCTTTAAAAGGAATAAAATATTTACAAGAGTTCGTTCTGAACATACCAATCAATTAATTGACTGGATACCGTTGACCATCATTTGGAATTCATTTTAATGAGAAGTAAGTACACAGCAATTGTGAAGACATGTCTCATAAATATGTAATGGGTTCAGGTAGAGAGATCTTAATGCAATATGGGAGATTTATTTTCGCTGGTATCATGGGTGCTCGTAATCCACGAATTCATTTATTCAACAGCTTTTGAATTACTATAAGTAAAATAATTAAATTTCGCGATGAAATGTATTTTTGTTCATTACGAGAGTATTTGTAATCCCTGAATTCATATGTCCACGAACTTTTGAAATAGTATTATTAAAAATATAAAATAACGAAAATTAAGTCCCACAAAAATATATGATAATTTGACAGAATACAGATTAGAAAGAATGGACTATTTTTATCAATTCTAAAAAAAACAACAATAAAAAGATCCTAGACAATGTTTACAAAAAAATTACACTAATTATTATTCTGATGTCTCTTATGTGTTTTGTATAATTACTGAAATCATCTTCCGTTAAAAGTTTGATAACATCTAAGAAACATTACCAAAAAATTGTGGATGAAAACTTGAGGATCAACCTGGAGAGGAAAATCCCGTACTTCAGTAACATGACCATGGATTACTGACTGTCAGGTTATGAACGAGAGAACTTCAGACTTACATTTAAAATATGCAGTCATGTTATGGTCTCCAAGGTTTGCCAAGTTTATAACTTAACTGGCGGCTTTCTCTCATGGGATAGGTACAATCATTTGACAATATGATTTTAGTTTTGAAGAAAAAAGGCCTAATCATTGAAGAAATAAATGAAACAAGCTAACTTACCCCTCGGATAATATTTCCACAAATATTTTGGTCCACATGTAGCTCTTCTGTCCGGTAATAGTGAAGGATAGATATAAATGCTCCGGCATGGCGGTCAAAAAAGAACTCATCCCTCTCTTTATCCCAGGATTCATCTGCCTCCTGAAGGTGAGCTAAAAGGGCCAGTCGAGTCCCAGGGATTCGTTCTAAAGTTGAAATCCAGGACTCGAATACTTCTCCGCCGATATTCAATTTGACTCTTTTATCAGACTTCTTACTTTTCGATGTCTCCCTGTCACGCTTTATAAATTCCATGGTTCAGTTGATAAGTGAAATTACAAATCTCTGTACACAGTTTTGTATAAAACAGACGGCATGTTGAAAAATTCCATCAACAAAATTGTCTTTTTTTTAAAAAAAAATTGCCTGGACTTTAAACATCTATTTATTAATAAACGCCATTACCCTTTCTAGATGCATGATGAACAAATACACCGCTTCGATAAACGACATATGTCACATCTCAAAAGATTTTACTAGAAACAGCTCCATATTCACAGGTAACGTTTTTATTTCCATTTGACGACCGACAAAATGTCAATCTGCAATACAAAAAATAATTCAATCATTGCATATATTGACGCCAGTAATTCTGATATTGATACCCATGAGTCTTCGTCTATTAAACTTAGAATCATCATAAATCTATGAAATCATTAACAATGAAAAGAAAAGCGAGTCTTTCATCCGGCTTTGTGTCCTGAAAAGGAAATTAACGCGAAATGGGTTGAATATATTGAACTAAACAGCACAAATTTAAATAGACTTGCTATGTCGTCTGTGTACATTCTAAAGCCCAGCGTTCTAACTTCAACATATAAATCACTCTTGTCAGTATAGAGTTTTGTGTAGGATTAAATGGTCTGGTTTTGAAATATTATGGTTTATGACAATAATTACTGTCTTATTTTTATCTGATAGTTTTTCGTCCATTTGCTCCTTCAGAAATTGTTACTGCTCAATATAGATACGTAAATGTTATTGAATGTCAATATGAAAAACGACCTGTTTTCAATCAATATTGTATGCAGTTGATGCATAGTCTTCAAAACCAAATATATTACATTTTAAATTGTTTAAATAAAATTGTACACATTTACCTTTTTGAGAACAAAAATGTACAATTCATAATATACACATGTACGCGTTCTTCAGATATCATGCAATATTAAAAATTATGCTATTCATTTAAATTCGGGATTTGGGGCACCTACTATCTAATGCTTGACACACATTTCTACCAAATTAGATATATTACTCAGTCGTCGCCTAGGTTTATCAAACAGGTTAAAAAGGCATTGCAAAGTAATCGAATTTTACTCTCACATATATTGATGTCGTCCTTAAATAATAAGAAATTTATTGACCACGTCCATCGTATGTATCCAGCAGAATTAGAAAGCAAAGACACAGCAGACTCTTCTACATCTGACGCTTATCTTGATCTCTTCCTAAAACGAAACCAACATGGATAGATTTCCACCAAGCTCTATGATAAGTGTGATGATATCAATTTCCCCATTTTGGATTTTCCATTTCTGCATAGCAACCTCCCCGCGTCCCCAACCTGTGATATTTACATGTCGAAGTTAATTCGATATTCAAGGGTCTGCTCCCATTATCACGATTTTCGTGCAAAAAAGCCATAAACTGACGGACAAATTCGTAATACAAGGTTTCAAAAGATGCGGGTTGATGAAAACGTTTTACGGTCGTCACAGTGATCTCATTGATAAATTTTATTTTTACGCAATATGAAGCTGGACGTGTTTGATGATAGTTAGTTTTTATGTTGGTTTCTTTCTTGTTTACCTTGGTCTCATTTGAGAATGTGACATTACTTACTTGGATTGACCAAGATTCGCACTGTCTATGAAGCAGAAAACGCTTACACTTCCGCAACACCTGATCTTATTTTCCTTGTACTTTTTTAGAAGTCTCCCCTTAAATCGTTTTTTCATATTTTCCCCAGTTTTATGTAATTTGAGTTTTGGATTATGACGACATTTTGAATTTTTTTTTCTTTTAATTCAGTAATTTCGGGTCTTTATTTTGGCCCTTGGCATCAATGACGAGTCACCAAAGAACGAATTAGATGAAGGATGCAGTCTGATTTGTATTGTATTGTAATATTGTATAATTCACTTGTCTGATGTTGTACAGTCTAATAACGATATTTTGTTTGATTTTTTGGAATCATTATCAGCGTCAATCTACCTTATATTTGCTTTACAAAAACCTCACATAATATCCCATACCAGAATCAATACATTATCATCAATTTGTAACAAAGTAAAATGACCTGGTTAACCATATAAAGTTTGAGTCGTTTAACAGTAACTTTGAATGCATTACCTTTAATAACAAATATCCCATACAATTAAAGTACTCTGGCTCAATAAGTGTAGTATGTTAACTTAACACAAATCAATGATTTACGATGTCTATACTCATAGTACGTTGTTTACAATAGGTGTAACCATTTAGCTGATACAACACAATTTATATCAAATAAATAATCAATAGATGATACACAAAGTATTATATACCAATAATGATATGACCAGGTAGGGTGTCCTTCTCTGGGTGTGTCTTTGACAGTATAATGCAGTGTGATAACACTATGAAGTCGGCCGCACTTCCGCACTGACACAAGGAGGCTTGCATGAAGATATCACATCACCCCGCCAACACATCACTCAACACATTCAATTACATATGTACCTCGCATAAATGGGGTAGTCGTTCTTAAGTGGCTATAGCTGTTGACCAAAGGTTGAACAATGTAAAACTGTAACTATATATATTTTTTACGAAACAAAAATTTGGTTTTCAACTCAACATAAATATATGTTCTATAGGATAAAACAGGCAGCCATCATTGCTTCAGCGCAAAATGTAAAGGCTTAAGAAGTGGTAGACACTGAAATTTCCGACTTCAATAACGTGTATGCTCCACGTTAGCATATGTTGTTGCTAACATTCTGCGATGCACAGAGTTATTGTACGGTTTATTTGCATCCAGGAGTGCCTTGCACAAGCGGGTAGAGTTCCAGAAGGGTCGGGCACGTTCAAATGTGTCGATCTAACATGTCCTAAACATGTTCTATAGGCGAGATATCGGTTATTGTATGGGGACCAAGGTAACGTATCGACATGGTTTTGGCGAACAGAGTTTATTTCACGTCGCACCATTTGACACCGAGCGCTGTCTAGCTGTGCTGGCAGATAAATGGCGCCGCGTTTCGGGTGTTCTCTGCCAACAGTACCTGTACAGTCCTGTTGCAATCATGAGTTACTTACCTTTGGCGTCCTTTACGCAAGGTGCCAAACAAATTTCAATATCAGTCTTTTTATTGCGATATATCTGAAGGATGACGAGCCAGTCTGAGAAACGTGAAATGTCCGCATGTGTATCCTGTGCTCTTGTTCATCGAGGCAGATATTGATGCCTCGCGAATTGTTACAGAGTTCAATCAACCGTGAATAGATGGTCATAATGATAAAGCTCATTGATATTTAATGAGTTTCATTAATGCGCCAGTAAAATATTTTATTGTCTGAAATATAATATCCTACATCGACATCTCTAGAGAATCTGAAAATAATATTCTGTCCAAATACATTTTTTAAGTCTAATACATGATAACTTGCCCGCATATGATTTTACGTGGAACTATACAATAACTTTAAAACGATAACCGAAAAACAAATCAAAGTTTCTATAACATCCAAAACAAAAACGACCAAGGTCTTTCTGAAGCTATTAACATCGAGCATAATCCTCGATACTCCAGGGGTTACGTTCACTATCGCTCTCTGCATCCCTTGAACTTTTCGTGGCAAAAATTTAGGTTCAATGACCAGCACATGTGGATAAGACTAATTAGGTCATTTGATATAATTCAAACGAATATCAAGGTCACATAACGGTATATAGTAAATGTTTAGAAGTTGGGTGTCGCTCCTTTGTAATCTTCAAAAGGAGCGTATCAGCCTGAGTCTTGTCAAGCTTTTAAGCTCCTTAAACCCACTCCAGATCAATCAAATAACTTCCCTTTTACCTTAATTTTCGCCATGAAATCTTCCACGGGTGCAGAGAGCGAAAGTGATCGTAAACCCTGGGTATCGAGGATCGTTCCAGTGGTGCAGAGAGCTATAGTGATCGTAACCCCTGGGTATCGAGGATGGTTCCAGTGGTGCAGAGAGCTAAAGTGATCGTAACCCCTGGGTATCGAGGATGGTTCCAGGGGTGCAAAGAGCTTAAGTGATTGATGCAAAGTGTTGAAACCAATGAAACAGCTGACGATAATTCAAATTGTGAAAATCTGGATGGGGAGGTGAACTTGTCCAGTACTTAGATAAATTTCAGAATTTAGAAATATTAGATGATTTCCTTAATTATAATCGATATTTTATAATTGAACACAATATTATTAATATAAACGTGATATATCTGTTGGCGTATTCGTGGTCATTAAATAACAATGACATCGACAAATGGACCGAGTACACGTATAAAACCTGTTTTAAAAAAACACAAATTGTCCAACTTCCCCTACCTAAAACTGATATCTCAGCGTCACACAAACAAGTGACTAAATGTACGTGCTTTGTGATGAGTGAGAAGTCATGATTTACTGGAAGGAAAGATATCCCCTTTAGGAGATATTTACACTCACGACAAGTTGCACGGGGTATGTTTGTAATTTCATTATCTACCTACCACTTGTATACAGTCAAATATCTATCTGAATGTGTTAAATAGTAAGCTTTGTTTCAGACGATTTTTGTAGAGATACACAGTCAGTATCGGAATAATATGATACTAGTTTTGTTTTTTCACCTTAAAACTTTGAAGACTAATATAATCTCTCCATCGATATATCACCAAGAATCCAAACAGACGTTCCTAATAACAATATCATCATTTTTAAAACCATGTAACCTAAAATACACACACATGTACATTCATATGTACTCTGTGAAAAAGTACAAGATTGTAACTACGTGTGTATCAACTGTGATTATGAACAAATATACTCAACGAAATAGTTTCTGAAATACATCTTCATCTTATCCTTTAACAACACTTTCCATAAAACATTAAAAAGGACTCGATCTTGACTAAAAAGAATGTTAAGGATTTTATATCTTCATTCAAATAAGTTAGATCAACTCACCTTAATCTCGTTCACCTTTCTATATCAAAACGTCTCATTTCACAAAATAATACCCAAATACATATTCGCACT